AAAGTAGAATTTCCAGGGCAGGAAGCATGTTCAGTTTAATATCATTTATTACATATTTCCAGCATCCTTTCTAGGAAAATTTGACTGAACTTATAGAGCTTTTAGCATTGAAACTGTTTCTCAATGTACCTAGCGTCATTGTTTTACTGTTATTTGTTTTTTGCTGTTTTAACATTTGTCATTTTTATTTCAGTTTCATTTATTGTTAATCAGCCTACAGAATACATATACAAATGTGATTATTTACTCTGATTCTTATTCCCACTTATTAAATGGATTCTGAGGGAATAAGTATATCTCACTCACCACAGAGATATAGATGTGCCAACATAGTTCATCAACACCTGCTATCCTCCATAAGCATCAATTGCATTTCTGTATACTAACATATGAAAACCAAAATTAAAGACATAAGACCATTTACAATCACTCTAAAGAAAATGAAATGCCTAGGTATAAGTTTAACAAAGCATACACAGAATCCATGTGCTGAAAAGTACAAAATGCTAGTAAAAGAAATCAAAGAAGACCTAAATAAACGTAGAGGTTGTTGTGTTCATGGATTGGAAGACTCTGTGTGGTAAAGATGTCAAGTCTCCTCCAAACTCATCTATACGTTTGGTGTAATTCTTATCAAAAATCCCAGCAAGGTTTTTGTAGACATAGACAACCTTATTCTAAAATTTACATGGAAAGGCAAAAGTCCTTAAATGGCTAAAAAAAAATCTTTTTCTGAAAGAAAAAGTATTAAATGGGAGGAATTGCCCTACCTTATATTAAGGCTCATTATATGAGCCTACAATTACACACAGTAATCACGACCGTGTGGTACTGATGAAGGGATACGCGCATAAATCAACAGAGCAGAAGAGGGATCCAAAACACAGACCCATACTTTTATTATGCAAACATTTTCTTTATTCTTATGTCAAAATATAGCATTTTTGTCCTTGTCATCTTCTTTTAAGTCTGCCTTACCCCCTTTTAGATGTTAGAAATATGCTGTCCTATTTTCTTCTAGATTTTGTTATTGACATTTTTGTTTTGTTTTTACATTTAATTCTAACTCATCCAGAATTTTTATGTAAGGTCTGGTGTGAGATACAAATCCAAGTTAGTTCTCTCTACCATTCAGTTGTACTGACAATATTTATTAAATAATTATTCTCTTATCTGTTGTTTGGTTATTTTGATTTGGCATGGATGAAGTTCTCACAGGGTTTCAAATTGCTTTCTAGAATCCCTTCTATTCAGTTGATCAGTTTCTGTTTTAGAGCCGTTTACACAGGACCTGGGTGGTCACAGCAGACTATTCACCCATTGACATTTGTAGGGAATGCAGAAGTATTTGTATGGGCTTCTAGAGTTTTCCAGAATCACAGTTCTTCCCAGGGTCACAAGTACTTCTTGTGCAAATATTCATACCTTTTCACCTCTCATTAAAATTTAACATCTCCCATTTTTCACAGAAGATTAAAGTTGTTTTTTTTTTTTTTACACTTTACTAGATTTACTCCTTATTGGAAAACAAGTAGAGAGGAAGGAGTAAAGCCAAACACCCAAGAGCTATGGACGCTGTGATTTTGGTTGGTTCACTCACTACATAAGTGACTTGCCTCAGATTAAAGCCTTGCAGCCTATAAATCTGAAGTCATGCCTCAGGAAGGTTAGAACTTACTAGACAAGTTACTACACTATATGGTTCAGGTTTTCCTGGGAAGAGTCAAAACCGCAAGTACTGAATCCACGAGTGAAGTATTCTTTGGTGTCTTGCCCACTTATCTTCCAGGTACTGATCCTTTGGACAGTCTTTTATTCAACTCTCTACTCTTGGGAATTTTAGCCTGTAATTTATATAATCCCTACTTTTTTAATTCACAGGGATAGCTGGCTTTATGACTGTGGTGTCCTATGGTCTTTACAAGTTAAAATACAGAAGATATCAGAAAATGTCCATTCATCTTATTCACATGAGAGTTGCTGCCCAAGGATTTGTTGTAGGAGCTGTGACTCTAGGTAACCTACCTAATTTGTATCTTGTGTTCAGCTGTCTTTGAGAGTATTTTTATTCATTCATTCATTCATAGTAGAAGATGAGTATTGGGTCAAGATGATATAATGGAGGAGGAATGGTAAGAAAGACAGTGATCTTCACTTGGTTGAGGTTGCTGCCCAGTTATAGGCTTAATTTCTTGGTGTTTTAAGCACTGAAAAAAAAAACAAACCCAGTAGACTAAAGGTACAAACTTCCAGTTACAAAACAAGTCATGGGGATGTAATGTACAGCATGATGACTATAGTTAATAATGCTGCACTGCATATTTTAAAGTTGCTAGGAGAGTAGATCTTAAAAGTTCTCATCACAAGAAAAATATATTCTGTAACTTTGTATGGTAATGTATGTTAACTAGACTTATGGTGATCCTTTCACAATACATACAAATATAGAATCATTCTGGAGTACACAATAATGCTGTATGTCAATTACACTTCAATTAAAAAAAAAAAGAAAAACCCAGTAGGGAACTAAGTTATAGATTCTGTTATCCCCTATAGTAAAAGGAGCAGTGATAGTTTGTACCCTCTATACCTCAGCTAAAAGCAGTGGTTATAGAAGCTAGCCTTTGCTGCTCAGCTAAGAGCAGTAGTCATAGTTCCCAGCCTATCTGAACAGCAAATATAATTATTAAAATAGTTTAATTGGGAAGAAAACATTCTTAGAGCTCGCCAATCTCAATATCCTTGTTCTTCTTTTATTCCAAATTTGAGCAATAGGCATTTTTTTATTAGTCTATACATTAAGCAATACTTACATAGTCAAATCCAAAGAACTGGTATAAAATTATCTGGTTAATTCAAATTGTATCAACAGCTAAAATGAGAGCAAGTCACAATGTTCTCAGCTCCCCAGCACGT